GATAACTCTCTCCCAGCACAGTTCTTTAGTCCTAATTGAACCAGCTCCTATTCATTCTGGAAAAATTTGTCAATGTGGCCAAATTGAAGTAGGCAAAACAAAACCGTCCCTTTCCGTGAGGAAGTTCTACAGAGTCCAGGTCGGGTTATTAAAAGCTATTAGACCTAGAAAGATTTTATAAGGACCACTGATGAAAAGGTGGGGCAAATAGGCCACAGACATTTAATATCTTCAGTTCAAGAGGCCGTACAAGGACATTTAATCTATTACACAAAGGAGCTCTCTGAACTACCTTCAAATGGAAAGTTCTTTGAAATTTAAGTTCATGCATTTTTATTTGGGGCCCTGGGGACAGCCTTCTATGAAGAAAGTAAGTCCTTTATTTCCAGTATACCTGTACTCTGTCAGTAAGTCACCCTGTAGATTTTGCTTGTTGGTATATAGATAGCATATAATTACTGCAGTGACATGAATTTTTCAAAATACAGTATTTATTCCTTTTAAAATTAACTTGGAAATGGGAATTTAAAAATTAAACTGTAATTCTGATATAGCATTGAGAAAAGTTACACAAGAACATGGAAATGTCATGCTTTTTCTCATAGAATTTTTTAACTTAAAGGGATTTTAACTGTCAAACTTAAGACTTTACCATATTTCAATGATGACCACTGTCAAAGATGTATGAAAATATCCCAACAAATTATTCAATCAAGAACTTCTGCATTAAAGAAAACTAATAATTTTAAAAAATTCTTTTGTCAGCGAATGCTTGTAAGCATGCCTCCTAAGGAAATATCAGAGCACTTATACCCAAGCGTCTATCCTTCACAGCTATTTGAACCCACTTACCTCCTAGGACTCCCTTATCTTACCTCCCCAGCACATCAAAGAACTACAAAACAAGATCACATAAGAAACTACAAAAGTCTATCTGTGTTTAGTATAGAAGCTATGCAAAGTAAGTCGTCTGCTCTAAAATTGTATTCCCCTTAAATATGTTTATTTCTCCCCCCGAAAGCAATCCCCATTCTAGTCTGTAAGCTATTTAATGACTTCTTTATCGATGCTGTTGTATGAAATCATATTTCTCTCTCATTTTTACAATTAGTTTTTAACTATATTTTAAGCAATAGATGGTATCTATTGTATATGCCAACAGTATGCTGAGCACTTAGCACACAGCAGAGGCATTTCTTTTTCATTTTCAATTACAGTTGACATTCAATGCTATTTCATATGAGTTTCAGGTGCAAAGCAGCATTTCTTGAATTCTTGCAACTATGTAGGGGTATATATGACTATTGTCCCCATTTCACAGATGAGGGAACTAAGGCTTAAAGGGGTTAAACTATTTGCTGAAGCTCAAACATCTGATGAATGGTGGAACCAGGATTTTAACCCCATAGGGTCTGGTTCCAGAACCTGAGTGCTTCCCTACCATTTTATTACTATATTACCTACTATATTTCCCTTCGAGCTTGAATCAAGATTCAGTCAAATACATCATGTTGGCTTCTCCATTGTAAGGAGGTTATTCAGACTGAGATATGTATTCATTCCATTGCTTTTCTTCAGTTCCTAATGCATACACTTTGGTTGTTTCACAGCTGATCTGACTCTCCACCAACTGACCGGCGTAAGAAAGCCAGTCTTACCACTTGTGATTAGTGATTCACTTTAGCAGTTAAGTGCATACGTTGGAGATCTGGTTATCATCCTGTTTATTTTATTTTATTTTTTTAAGTCTTAATTAGATGACTGACTATTTGTGGACTTCTGAGGGCTCCCTGTAGGAAAAAATGACTTAGGGTCATAAACTCCACTCTTTTCCTGAAATCACGTTTTGATTTGGTGTATGATCACTTTTATGCATACACCCCACTGCAAATACATTGGAAAAGCCCATTAAGATTATTTCCAACATTGGCTGGTCTAAGATACGACAATCTTTAATTCCCTTAATTATCTCCTAAACTTCCTTTTTGCTTATTTGTTCTAAAATTACTGACTGATCTTAACAGCTCTGTTTTTATCGCTTATTGCTCTCATCAAGTGCGTGGAGCCATGTTCTCTTGCTTCTGAGTATGGATGTTATTTTACAACACTACTTAACTGCCTTGACCTGGCTTGGCCTTTCTATTTTAAGAGGTAAATGAGGAGCAGAACTGGAACAGCAAGTCTTCCGTGATTTTCTGATCTGTGTGCTTTCTATACTATTCTAATTCTTTGGGTACAAGCCTCACAGCACGTGAGCCTGAAGTCCTGGCCTCAGTCAGAGAAGTGGGTATTGTTTTCTAGTGGAGGTGGCTGAACGGGGCTGAGCAACAGCTCTCTGATCCTTGTGCTTTTTTGCTGAGAGTGCTCCAGGCCTGGAGACATGGCTTGTAGTCCACTCTTCTCGTGTGTCTTAGTCATCACTTTGCACTTCAGGACAGTGATGATGTAGCCTTTTGAAATGAGGTTGAAGAGCTCGCTCTGTTTTGAAGCTGGCTTTCAAGGCTTTGGACAGTTTCAAAACGTGCTAAAGTAGTTGGTGGTTTTTGATTTTGTTTTAATTTCTTTTTGAAATCCCCA